GCTAATGATATCTGGTGCGAATGTCACTGAAGCACAGGAGGGCCTTTGCTGTCTCATTAAATTTTGTGCATATATTTTAGGAAGCGTCTTTATGAGGAGCTAAGTTACAGAACCTACATTGCTACACAGTGCTCTACTAGAGGACCGAATCTCAACGGCAAATTAATTCTTCCTTGAGAGTTGAGAGGGAAGGTCCGTCATTTATAATAAAGATCTCTGGGGTTGCTTTCATGAGGGTTGTGTTTAAGAGTATTTGCATATCCAGAGTCTTGAAGAGGCACTCTGAAAGATGGAGGAATTCATAAAGTTGCACAGTAAGGACTTCAATGATCTTTGATATCGGCACTGTATCTGTTAGCTCACTGACAGTGTATTTTATCGTCACTACTTTTGGATCAGTGTATTTTTGTGCAGATTGAATTAAAGTTCAGCTTTTTAGAAACCTCTGGTATCTCCCAATGAGATGTTATCCTTTGTTAGCCCTGTATGAGCTACAGCACACTGGTGAAAACCGATGGAACGCTTTCAGTATTTTGATTGGATTTGATTTTTTTGCATGTGAAAATGTTAATCACAGGAGGTTTCACACACTGGTGAAAACCGATGGGAAAGCGTGACAGCGGATATGGCAGAGGGATTAAATTGTGATTGCCTTCATAGAATATCTGTTGTTTTTTTTTGCATATGTGGTGAAAAATGTTAACCTCGCAACCAAGGTCAAAACTCATTTAAGTGACAGTTTTGTATGATTACAATTCGTGTGCCTGCTTGGCGCGTCTCCTCTTAATTGACAACTCAGTTGGCTGTATGTATTATGTTCAAGACTCTTCGCAAATTAAAGAATCATAGGTCCTACTCTGTCGCAATTTTGGGTGCGGGCAAAAGAGTGGAAGGACGCGAAGAGGAGAAGTCTTTCAGTTTGCAAAACTTATAAGTATTTATTAGTAGGCTACAACTTACCTTGTGATTGTGTGAACAGCTAGTACTATTCAGAAGAGTGAAATGTAGAGATGCATTAACTGCAATTGTCTTGGTTGATGTCAATTGTTTTTAAGTGGGACCTGCAGATTTTTGGCACTGCCGATTTCTTTCTGAGTACTATAGCTACCAGCAAAACCAAGCAAAATCATATTTTTTCATTATTCAATATTTTTTGTTAATAAAACAAATGATAAAACAGTTTCCCCCATACTGCTCTGACTGAAAATTAAGTGCTCTGCTACTGGTAAGAGGTACAAGTCATTAGTTGCTGTACACCCACCTTTACCTGAAACATTTTCCCAGCAGTTGCAATAGATTTTTATAAGATAACAAAACAAGCATCAGTTACTCGTATTATTTTCTAATATGTTTATAACTTCCCCAGAACATCAACACTTATCTTTTCCTATCATCTTTCCTTATAACAGGGTTGATCCTTTGTTTATACCAAGCCTAGTGGCATGTGGTAACTCTAGCTAGCTAGCTCAGACCTAGCTAGCTTTTTTAGTATCTTTAAAATGTCCATTTCAGCTTGGTGAGTGTTATTTAAGTGTGCAATTAGGTAAAGGAGTTTTTCATGATGGTCCCCCATGTGCCTTAACTCACAGTTGGGCGCTTTCTAGCCAGTAACTGTTAGTTCCCCATGTTGGAAGCCGAATGGAGCGACTGCCTCTTCTCTCTCCCTCTCCTGCTGCTACTTCAATCATGAAACTGATCAATGATCAGCTGATCGGCTTTTCTGTCGCGAGTCCGTCTCTCTTCTTTGTTTTTGGCCCACTTTGCACCAGAAAGAGGAAACCAGCGGCTGAACAACAGCAGCACGTTTAAGCTTGATAAGCTGTTGTTAGAATTTATTTAATATTACTTTCTACTCGAGGATCTTTTTCTACGCAGCTGACGCTGTAACTCGATATTGAACCGTTCGATACAGTGCTTTCGGTTCGGTACGCATATGTATCGAACAATACAAAATTTTTAATTTATTTTATCAACTTTTCCTTCTGACGATGCTGTCTGTGTTGAGCGCTCAGTGGATCTGCGCTCGACAGTGCAGCCTAGGCGGAGTAGTCGAACGCAGATTCACTGAGCGCAGGGCAAGCTAGCGAGACAGAAGTTAAGCTCTCCTTGCAACATGGCAAATTGAACCTCCCCCACCCTCATTCAGATCTGGCGTTTGGAACTATTTTGGTTTTCATGTGACGTATGACCCTGAAGGTAAGCGCGTCATGGACTAAAGTAAAACAGTATGTTGGATGTGCCATGCAATGCTCAATTACATGGGTGGGAACTAGTGTGTTAGCGCAGTTAGCTCGTTAACGTGTTGGCCGTCTAGCCCCACGCACGGGGCGATCTGGGGTAGCTCGTTAACGGAGATTTGCCGTGTTGTGGCGTTAACGTCATTTCAACGAGATTAACGCTGACAGCACTAGTGGGAACACAACGAATATGACTGCACATTTACGCCGACATCATCCTAGTGCAAAGACAAGTGGAAGCAGACAAAAACAACAAGCAGCATGTACAAACAGCCGTTAGCACATGATTCTCCTTATGGGGACCTGATATGTTTAATATGCTGCTGAGAATATAGCCCAGAAGAAGCGATAGTATAGCTTTTATTTTGGAAAGAGCCATTTCTCTGTAATAAACTCTCTTTTCCAAAGATGAGTGATTTCTCGATCAGATAGATTTTATTTTTTTATTATTTTGTTGTTTCAGCAACATTAAATTTAAAAACTGTACTTTTGAGTTAAAATATATTTATAATTTTAATAAATGACAAATTAAAAAGGCATGAACATTTTTTGTATCGAAAAAATATCGAAAAAAACAAAAGTTGTATCCAAGATGGCCGACTCCTAAATGGCCACCATGGTCACCACCCATCTTGAGGAGTTTGCCCCCTCACATATACTAATGTGCCACAAACAGGACTTTAATATCACCAACTATTCCCATTTTCTTACGGTGTATCCATATAAATGGCCCACCCTGTACAGTCCATTCTCTTTTGAGCTGCTTTTAAGCATCTTTCTTGTAGTCGTCGTTCCAACACAGGAACTTGTTTTGATTTGTGGACCTGGAAAATAGCGTCGCGCTCCCACAATACATTGCGGCGTGACGTCAACTCCAAAGCCCTGTTAGCATTTCTATTCAGTCTACAGCTTGTATAAAATGTTTTTCTATCTATAAGTTATCTTTAATTTTTTTAATTTATACACCTTTAATAAAGTCTGTAATATAGTCTGTTTGAAATGTGACGTTAACAAATTTATTGCAATCAGCATTGTTGTGATACTTAGGTTAAATTCTATTTAATGACATATTTAACACCAAGTTAGTTGCTAGTAAAAGGATAAACACTCAGAGCTGATACTAGTCTCTTCTGGTTGTTAAGTTCACTAATGTTAATTATTGATGTAAGCAAAAGACAATTTGTTGCTAGATGCAGTAACATTATTCATTAATGTATTATTATATATAATTATTGTCTGCTCCACTCTCCCTCTTTCTTCTTCCTTTTTTCACTCTGATCATAACTGGTCTTTTCATTAAGTGGCTCTTTTTGCTTTCATTTGGTTTGGTTAACCAGAATGATGCACACCACTTACAACAATCCTGCTGTCATTGCAAACTACACTACCTGGGTACTTCAAGAAGGTGTCTGTCTTGCTTGCTGGCTAGCAGAGTCTACGAACATGACCATCTGCCATTACAAAAAGCCTGTCAAAGAACCTCCCCTTACATACTCCTAATCCTCCTAAAGGCACACAGATGTGTATAAAATATTTCCAAGTCTTCCCTTAGTGGACACACTTGTAAGAAGTACATCCTGTGGCTGGGTGAGCAGGTGTTGATGGTACAATTTATAAACTATAATTTTTCTTTAAGACTGGGGTTGTTAGTGCGGAGACGGAATAACTCAGAAGTCAGTAATGATGCCATTTAATTTATGTTGGACACAAAGATGAGTCCTCTACACTGGTGCTCACATCATGTTTGTAATTGTTACTTTCTTGTCCTTGACAGAGTTATGTTTAGTTTGCTTTAGGGGCATGGATTTTTTTTCACTGTGATGCGCTCTTACATTTATAGAGAAGAAAGAAGTCACCCAGAGTCTGGAGAACTACACCTCCAAGTGTCCTGGTGGAATGGAGATTATCACCCTTCCTGATGGCTTGAAGCTACCTCCAGTGCCCTTCACAAAGCTCCCTATTGTTCGGTAAGGTGGCAGTCTAGTTAATGTTACTCCAGCGTGGCTCGATTTCTTTCTTTAAAAAAAAAGAAAGAAAAAAAAAAGTAAGATGTTGCCTCTCCAGTGCACATTTTGTCTCAACAAAATAAGTGAAATGGATCAACATTGGTTTATGCTTTCTGTCTGGAGAGACTGCTGTCCCTGAAGTTAAACGGACTTTTTGTTATACTTTGATCAAGTGATCCCTTCACTTTATGGTTTGATGGTCAGACGCTTGAGAGATGAGTTACAATGTTTTAAATTAATGTTAATTATTGCCACACTGCATGCAATAAAATTAGATTAGTTTAGCCTTTGTCTCCCCTGACAGAAATTTGTTTTGGACAAATGAGTGGGACATCGCACATAAAATAGCATAACATTAAATTCACACACACACTCATAATTTTGTCATTGAAAAGTTTAACTGATAATTGATGATTTACCACATACTCTTCAAATATGCGCTTCAAGGGGAGACGAATGGCGCAGACCAATTGTCTTTCCAGTCATTTAATCAAATTTTGAATTGTCCTATAAATTAGTAACATAATGCTTTTATCCACATCATAAGCCCTAAGCTTTCTTTAAAAAAAGTTTTTCAAGCACTGACTGATTCGTTAACAAGCATACTTCATATGGTGTAACTGACAGTCATTGAAGTGAAGGAAACTTTGGCGAATGTCTAAATACTTAACTGTTGTCACTTCAATTTTTTCTCCACTAATTCAAAGCAGACGGTGAGCTCCTGTAGGTATCAGATTGAAGCTAATTTCATTGGTTTTAGTTTCTGCACCACCACTGCACTGTCCCTTTCCTTATTTTATTTTTTTATTGTTTTTATAGATAACTTAAGATTCAGATATTTCTGATTCCTGCAATTGTTTGTGTATAATGTAAGGAGTGGAGTACACACTTTCTTCAAGTTCCTGTACTTTTTTGGTTTTGCTGAACTTGTAACTTTTAACAAAGAATAGTACCATAATTCTCTCTAACAGTGTGCTCTAATAAATGTGAATGTTCATCACAAACACTTTGAAATACCATATATGACACAAGCAGTTGTAAATAACTTTATTTAAAAGGTTGCCTAGATATTGGGCGACGCGTTGAGGGTGTTGAAAAGCATTATATAAATGCAATCTATTATTATTATTATTATTATTATTGTTATATTGCTGCCATGTCAAATGATCATTAAGGAACTTTAAACCTTGAATACTTGTGGAAAAATACGGTAACCCATGCCGCTGTTTCTTCGTCGATAGATCTGTGAAGCTCCTTAATCTGCCCGTCAGTCTGCGGCCCCATAAAGTGAAAGGCCTGCTGGGACAGAATATATCCAATGCTAGCCCTTTCATCTACTCACCAATCATCATGCACAACAGAGGAGAGGAGCGTTGTAAGAAAATAGGTAAGTCCAATTATGATTTTAGTGAAGATGCCACCGTGTTGGGTCATAGTTGAAGTGTCCAAACCTGGTTTCAAAAGCGAGTCAATCCACATAGACTCCCATAGATGTTTCCAGTCTGGTACAAAAGCTGTGAAATGGTGGGGACTGGTAACCCTCAAAGTGAGGGGCAGGGCTGTTTTGATTGGCAGTTATGCTGACATAAGCTGCTGTCGCTGTTTGTGGTGCCTTTTGGAACATTTGAATGGAGTTATCAGACAAATAATCTAGCTTTTAAGTCTTAGTCAGTTCCTGAGCCAAAATCTTCTTCTGTTCCCAAAATCAAAACTGTGTGGCATCACTGAGAGTTAAAAATGGCCTTAATTCTTTCATCTGCAATAAAATGATCAGTGAGTCTGCTCTTTCAGATGTTGTAATAAAGTTTAACATCCGGGGATCCATGAACAACAGGAGTTATGAAGTTTAATGGAGTTGGAAGTCAGCCCTCCTTGCTTTCTTTGCAGCCATTGGATAAATATCAGACGTTGCAGAAACTGAAAATGTCTGTAGTGTTGATGTTTAGAAATCAGAGCTATTAAAAAGGTGCCCGAGGAACAGACATCTTGTCCTATAGTCCCCATATAAAGTGGGACACCTGGTCAGTCTAGTCACAAATGGCTCGTTTCAGTCCTGAATGCCACCTGCACTGTAATATTTGATCACCTGCCTCCTAACTTTGCCACATGAAGCTTCCTGTTGTTTAGATTGTTTGAAGTTTCATTTACAAAAATGTTACCAAAGGGGGAAAACAGGAATTTCACACTGCAGAGCTTCAAGTGCTGCTGTCGAAATTAGCAAACAAAAGCTAATTTAGGGGAGACAGTAGGCGTATTAGAGGATTACTTATTGTTCAAAGCATTTTCAAAACAATTAGAAAGATTAATTTTACAGCTCCTTATGGCATGAGAAAAGAGAGCTGTTGGACAAAGTTTACCATTCTAAACCAGTGCAGTCAGTGTAAAAGGCAGTAAGTTGTGGGTCAGCAGGTTACTGAGATAATAAATTAGGAAAATATTGGCTTTTTAATGTGACGATGCAAATGATAATTGTGATGCTGTCTCTGGATGACAGTCTGTATTGTTTAAGCTGAGACTGAGATCTTTCAACATGCTGCAGTGCTGCAGTGCTGTGTTGGCTAACTTTACATCAGTCTCCAAACTTAGCAGTTGTCTATTTCATTTGAGTTCTCCACACTTCTCGAAGGACATTCAGGATGTTGTGTGTTTTGTGACTTGAGAACGCCACGATGCAGGATTTTCAAATTGATACCGTAAGTGTATGTAGTTAAAATGTCAGACGAGTTTAAATCTCCGTGGCCTTGACCTAAAGGTCAGAAGTCAGCTTGAGAAGAAGGTGATGTTGGATTTTGAAATTGACACTACAGGTGTTTGTTGTAGCTTGCAGCTGAGGGCTGCTGGCAATTGCAGGTATTTTTAGAAATTGTTACTTCAAATTACAAACTTGGCAAAACAAGACATCAACCTGTCTGGATTTTTGACGTTTGATAATAGGAGGTTCATCTTAGAAGTAGAGCTGGGCGATATGAGATTTTTTCATATCACGATATGTTTTTTTCATTTCAGGCGATAACGATATCTATCACGATATAAGCCAAATAACTATATTTGTAAGATTTAAATGTGCCGTTGCTCACAAGTAAAATGTGAAATAATCAGCAGCTTGTTTTTATTTAAATATTTATTTCCCATAATAAGTTCAACAGGGTAGATGTACTTAAGGAACATGAGACTTTTTCAGATAAATAAAGGCAAATATTGCAAACTACACAAAAGGCAGCCGCTAAAGCGTTTAAGTTTCAAAATAGAACAAACGAAACAGACTAAATTGTCAATTCCACTTAGAAACAAAATATTAATTCTAAAAATAAATCTTAGTTTGTTTTACAGAAGAACAGACAAAACTGACTAACTTTTGTCAATATCAAATAAACTGAGAACTAAAAGGAAATTCTCAATCTCTCCTTGTTGTATAGCTTAGCTTTTCAAACAGTTTTAACAGTTACTTTAGTCTGACAAAAGCCGAATGACGAATTAGCGCTTCCAGTCAGAGACTGAGGCTACGTCCACACGTACACGGGTATTTTTGAAAACGGAGATTTTCCGTTTTCGTTTTAAAAAATAATCCCGTCCACACATAAAGGCAGAAATGAAGGAAAACGCTGCTATGAACATGCCAAAGCAGCAGGTGGCGCTAGATTCCTAACCGTGCAGAAATGTTGGCCAATCAGAAGTCTAGAAGCCTCGGTGGGAAAAAGTAAACAAAGCTGGGGCATAGAAGCAGAACCGAGTCGTATGTGTGGAGGGACAGTAACTGTGTGTATATGTAAGCATTTAAACACTGCAGAGAGTAGAATTAACAGTATTGTAGAAATTCATTTCACCGAAACAATAACGTGGCGCACAGTGTGACGCATGCACCAGTTTATTGTATTTCCAGACTTGCTTTCGGCACAATTTACAGTGCACGCTACTCTGTTTTTTGTCAGACTTGAAATAGCCGAAATACCTTCACACTACGGAACTTCTATGGCTCTTCCGTTCGACAATCTCTCCGGCATTGGAACCATCATCTGTTTTCTCTTCGGTCACGCTCGGTTGATTTTTCTAGTCGGCACACTCATTTCCTCCATTACGCGCTGGCTCCATTACCCGCTGGCTGCTTCCCAAACAAACACACGTGCGGCTTGGCACTTGTGCTGTACGTAACAAGTCACGCGACGTGACGCTGCGGCTGTGATTGGTTCGGCTCTGCGCTACTTAATTTGGATTGGCTGACCTTTTTTTTTTTTTTTTTTTTTAAGAGGACAAGAGCGGCGAGGTCTATCGCGATAGCTTAATTTCTCTATCGAGTAAAAGTTATATCGCGATACATATCGTTATCGTTATATCGCCCAGCTCTACTTAGAAGCTGAAAACACAAGTTGTCATATAAAACCACAGATCCTTTTCAAGGACAATGGCACATAGCAAAAGGATTAAATTCGATTAAATTCTCTCATTTACAGTGTCAAAAAAAACTGCTTTAAAAATGTTTCTCATCTGGGGGAATTAATGACTATTAACACTTTTAAACAGGCCCAGAAACTAAGCTTTGGTCCTGTCTTTGGTTCTAATTTCATATGCTGACCATATATAATTTAGTATAAAAGATGAATGCTGCTGATTGTTAAATACAGTATTTCACAGTGGGGTGCAGTAACAGCCCCTAACATCTTATCTCTAAAATGTTTATTAAAAAAATATTCTAACAGGACATGAGAGACAGTTTAACAAACACTGGAATGTTTGACTTTTGTTTACTCAAGTAAAAGTGAAAATGTACAGGCTCTGAAATGCAGCACTTTGAAGGACATTTCTACCATTTTTTTCTTTCAAAGCTAACTGAATCTTGTTGCTATATTAATATAGTAATAAAATAAATGAGAAAACATGGGAATACATAGTGTTATTTTTTTAATTTTGCGTTAACACCTTAATAGAATCATGAGCAAAGTCGAGGGTTAAATTGAGATGGGGCAACAGGTGAGGCAACCCTAAAATCGGTTGTAGTGGCTTTGTGTGGGGAAAAGAATCACAATCCGGTCTTTAAGTGATGACGTGATAAACCCTGCTTCCGGGCCCAAACTACTCTGCGTTTAATAAGGCTGTTGTTATTTTTAACATGTTTTTATGATTTGCATCTTCTGTTTAGTCAGTGATCACTGCTGGCCTCTCTGTTTTTATTACCGCTAATCATTTTACAACTCAGTTTTTAAAACCTTATGATGTAACTACAGCCCAGCCCATGCAGCAGTATATTAATGACTAACTTGACTGACATTGTATTGTGGACGGATTATCTCAGTTGTTCTCCTGACTGAAGTTTGGTCCACTTACTGTATCCTGTCCCACGATTCCATTTGTCCCTAACCATCGGGAACCATCACGTTAACTTTTACAGAGTGGAAAAAAGTTAGCGTTCATCCTCCCTTCACTGTGTTTATGTTATGCTAACATAGCTGTGTCGCTAGCAATCACGTAGCACATCATTTTAAACCAGCTAGCCCAACTTCAGTAAACCTACAAACGTCACTGCTGTTTACTTTCCTGTCTTCATTTATGTTGGAAGTGATAGCAGAGCTGTGCGTTTACATTTTTCAGAGTCTCTCAGTCAGTACATGGCATATCATGTTTAGGTGGAATCTAGCGAGCTAACTTCTTGCTAACTTGTAACTCTGTTAAATTGAATAAATTCTGTTTTCATGGATGCCTGGATGTTAAACTCAATTGCTACACCTGGTAAAGCAGCAACGCTGATCATTTTATTAAAGATGAAAGAATTTAGACAGTTTTTCAACTCCCAGTAATGCTGCAGTGATCGTTTGACTTATGGACCTGCAGCGTAGTTTGGGCCCAGACATAGTTAATGACGTCAGACTTCAAGACCGGATATTTTCTGCTGTGAGCTCCAGCAGATTTTCTTTGTGGACAGGCTTTGATCAGCCAGCCTCTGTTGGTGATGCTGTTGCTTTGAATTAATTGTGTGAATAAACTGAAGTATAATTTCTGCTACACTTGACATAACCCAACTATGACCGTGAACACAAAGTCCTTTACTGTAAATTCCCCACAGTATGACAAGCTAACGTACTTATTCCACGCTAAAGTGGCTTGTATTTTCCTGCAACCTTTGTATAAGACAAAGTTAGTATACCTCAGTTTGTTTTGCAGGACAACATTAAAGCAACACAACTTCACGTCATATACAGATCCAATATCTGATTTTAAAAAACGAGGACATTTAGTGACAGCTTTAAATTTCCAGTTTGTCAAATGCCACTGAGCAGCATTTACCTTAAAATTTAACCTTTCTTGTCTTTCCTACATCTTCTTCCACCTCTGGCTGAAGTTAGCTCACACTCTTCTCTCCCTGGGAAATGCAGGACACAAACATTTTGTTTGCTAATATTTTTTGGGCTGTTAAGAGATGTTGTATTTGACTTTACCTGCCAATTTAAAACAAAACAAACAAAAAAACATTACTGCCTTTATCCTCACTCCTCTTCTGTAATGCTGGTTAGATGCTAAAGTACCGTGACCAGAATTTATGGACATCTGCACCAAAAAAAAGCTTTTTAGAGTAATTCTGGCCCAGCTTTGCCCCGAGTATAGTAGTATTAATGATGCATAAATTATGTTTTTTCTCTTTCATCTCTTTGTGCATGATAAGCTGATGATAGACACATCAATAGGATTGTGTCTTATGCATACTTGCCAACCTTGAGACCTCAGAATTAGGGAGACATTCAAAGGCGCGGGGTATACATATACAAACAACTTGAATTTTACAGTAATTATTTATTTAAAGTAAGTTAAATGTCACCGTTATAGCTGTCCCCCAATTATTTAATCTATTCTAATAACTTTAATCTCAGCCACAGCGATTTACTCAGGAGCTAATAAACTGAAAAAAGTCAAACAATAACATTTTTAGGTTATCTAAGTGACTTATCATGTTTAACCTGAGTAGCGAAAGACCGCGGGGGTTTGAAAAGGATGTGCCGGGAGTTCGCTGTTCTCGTCGGCTCAGCTACATTTGAAGTTTACACACCCACGTTCTCGCCTGAAAATATGCTAAAAGTTTATTTTGCGACCCAGAAAGAGTAATGAGAGTAATATTAAAATGAAATAAAACTTTCCCTCAAGTAAATCTGTTTTGAAAATGTAATGAGTAAAAAGCACAAATGTGTTTAAAAATGTAGGGAGTAAAAGTAGAAAGTTGACAAAAATAAATACTTAAGAAAAGTACAGATGCCTAAAAACTCTACTTCAGTACAGTAATATGAAGTATTTGTACTTCATTATAAGCAGCTGAGGTGGGAAGTAAAAAGAGTTTTGAAAGAGATGAAGTCTTTGTAGATATGTGCTGAATATCAATGGTCACTTGAGGAGCTAAGACTGAAGCAACACAAATAAGATGGAAGCAATCCACTTTTTTCCCCCTGTTTTCTGAGGTGTATTTCACACTTAATTGGCTGGCTATGAGAGTATGCCTGTGAGCCAGATCTGAGGTTGTGTGGGACTTTCCAGACATTCATATTATAGATATCTTTCTTTTGACTAGCTTAATTTCCCAGGGTGCATGGCTGCAGTTTGCCTTCCATAAATCCCTTTTCCTGCCAGGGTCTGAGGTAGGATTTTAAGGCCCTCTTTTGCAAGTCTATTTACAGCAAAGGGCTCTCCAAATGGACTAGAATGTGTTACATTTCAAAATGGAGATGGGACTACTGCAGCAGTATTTCAATGCGTTTAACCCCCCACCCCCAGTACTTCAAATATCTTATTCAGGAATCATGGATACTTTTCTCTCAAAGTTGGAGAAATGTTTTCTGTCAGGTTCTCAGTGCCTGATGAATTTCTCTGATCATTTCCTGACTGTTTGGTACTTTGAAAATCTTTTTCAGAAACCATAATGCGAGCACACCTTTTACCCTGCCCTTTAAAAACCCTTTTCTCTGGAATGTTTTTAATTAAGTTCTAGTATAATTTGATCTCAATATCACTGCTGGTAGCTCATCACAACAGCTTAATAAATTTCTTTCTGTGAACTAACAATGACCCATTAAAAAAAAAAGAAAAAGAAATCCATCAAGCCTTAAAGAGCGCATGCATCAATTCAAATTACTGTGGGTTTTGTGCCACACAATCTGTATTCATAACATGGCCCACAGTGTGTTTACTGTTGTGTGTTACACAGCTGTAGCGGTTTCTCAAAAGAGTCTTTAACAGGTCCACTCTGATAACATTAACACACAAGGATTTCTTTTCTTGTTTCTTTCAAATACTGTAGTCTAGTCAAAGCTGCTGGTATCTCAGAGACACTTGTGTATGTTGCAGCAACGGGAAGACGGCTCTCACTCATAAATCATCATAACTTAGCAAATTATTGTGGTCAATGCTAAACATATCCAGTTAATGTTGGACCTGACAGGTACCCATTCCAGCCGTGCCGTTGTCCTGCGACCTGTTTGTCATTCGTATTTGTGCCATATGGATTCATGTCAAAATATGCTAGCAAGTCAGATTAAATTTAATCATAATATTGATTTGAAAAAAATGACCTAAATTTCCTCTGACATTAGCCCATCTGCAACATCATTGTCCATTATTACCTCCACCAAGGACTTAATGATTTATTGGTTGACTGATTGGTTGCTGACAAAAAGCCTTGTAACTTTAAAACTATGATTCCTAGTGTGGTGCATGTTGTCAGAATATAGAAAGTACTCTAAAAACACTTGGATTTGATGTTTACCTCTGACCTCTCCTTTAAAGTCTACTTTAAAGTCAATAGACTAATAAAAAGGTCAAAATTATAATAATGCTACATGCTGTTTCTTACTGCTATTGTTTATATAACATTGAGGTATATAGAGGAATGCTATATGGGGATTCTAAATATGACATTATAGTTTGCATTGAAATTTGATGTCATATTTGACCTCTCACCTCATTTTTACATTTCACAACTGCCTTTCTTTCAACTTGACCTCAGAATTAAAGTATCATCAAGAGAACGGGCTGCCTAGTTAATTAGAAATATTCTGTAGTGTAATATTATATAATAAACTCAAGTTATTGAGTTTAGTGCTTCATGTTAAGTATTGTAAACATCATTTTCATAATGATGGCTTCATAATAGCCATTCAGTTGATGCTTATAGCTGTGCCTCACAGTACAAGCATTACCAAAGCTTTTGAAACATTACCAGGGCTCGCAAAATCGCTAGCCCGACGTCCCGGAGCTAGCGATATCGCCGGTCGGGCGACCAAAATCTATATCAGCCCGCCGTCGGGCTATATGATAACCCAACGGGCGGGGCTGAGACAGATTTTGGTCGCCCGACCGGAGATATCACTAGCTCCGGGACGTCGGGCTAGCGATTTTGCGAGCCCTGATTACTTGCAGCTTAAGTAACCATCAGAATGATGTTGATAACTCACAAACCAGTAAGTAAACAGAATTCATTGCTTTTAGAAATGGAAACCTATGAATTAAAGTTTATACTGTCAATATTTGCAAAATTGTAGTTTATCAAACTCGCTATCATTATGTTTGAAAATATAGAAGTGTGGTTGGAGCATCACTGGTCACTCAGAAGGTCAAGGGAAGAACAGGAAATCTGTGCCGCTTTGACGACCACAGGAATCAAATTTACAGCCTTTTTAGAGTCACTCTGGGCCCTTATACACTTAAAGGTGTGTGTTACAAGCTCAACAAGAGGATCTGCTCTTCTGCTCTGTCCTGTTTCTTGTCTATTGGAATGTGTCAGTGCGTAGCTGTTGCCCATTTGTCATGGTTAGTGTGACTGATTGTCAGCCTCTTACAGGTTTTCTCCCCCTTTTACTGAGAGGTCATGGAAATTAGTTGAACCATTAGATCCAAGCAAATGCGTACAAGCTAGTTTTAGGCACAGATTGCTTACTGTTGGGGAATCACAGGTTTTAACAGCATATGAAAAGAAAACAAGTTCCTTTTGTAATCTGTCATCTAATCAAAAAAGTGATATACGTTTTGTGTGTCATTGTATACGTCATCACTGCTTAGCTGAAAAATCCAGGAAGTTTTTCTTTAATTAACTTCCTGTTTGGTAATGAAAGAAAAAGATGCAACAAACTGATTGAACAGCTGAAAACGTATATCAAGCAGGAATGGAAAAGTCTTGGTTGTTTGTTTGTTTTTTTTTAAACAGTGATTGTTGCCTTTGATCATGAATGGCGTCAGTGTTATGGTGGATTTTACCATTAATTGCACCTGGGTTTTAATACCACTAAAATCTAATGTTTTTATGTCCATCTTTCTCTAGATTTCCAGTGGGTTCAAGGGGATGTTTGTGAAGTGCAGCTCATGGTCTACAACCCAATGCCTTATGAACTGCGTGTAGAAAACATGGTAGGTCGATTTATGACTCTTAACCTTAACAAGTGCACCATAATCATGGTAAATATCAAAGCACAGAAAGTAGTTGCTATAGTAATAAGTTCTTAATAACACTGGTTTTCAGTTATTCTTGTTTGCTTAGTTATCCTACCTTAAAATCTTTCTTTTTTCTGACAGTGAGTTTGTGAATGATTGCATTTGATTGTGAGAGCTCTTCTTCCTCCAGTGAGAGATCCATCTCGTGATGCTTGTATTGCTTTATTCACCATCCTTTCAGAGGTCGACCGTTGCCTTTCCTTTTCTGTACTGAGAGGAAAAAATATTTTAAAGTGGACATGAAACACAGATCATATATAAAGGCTAATTGACACTATAGAGCCATACTCTCTAAAACGTACACATATTTAACGCTGCCTGTGAAGCTGGATTTAAGAACTCAGTGCTCAAGGTTTTAACCAACCAGCACAGTCAACCTGCCAATTATTGTGTTTATTGGCTGGTTGATGCTAATAGTGCTTAAACTGATGTAAGTCTAACTTTAGGCACTTATTTCTTAAATGCAGCTTCACAGGCAGCGTTAAATATGCGTACGTTTCAGAGAGCAAGACACCATGATGTCTTTATACAGACGTCTAGTGTTTCATTTCTACTTTAAAAGAGACCATTTTAACCATTTTAATATTTAATAGTCAATGTATCTCCAGCTCATGCATAGATCTCTACGTCTTCAACATCCATTTCTAACTTACAAACGTTGTCACTCTTGCTTTTTTTCATGCACACATGTTAAGCCACTTTATCAAGTCAAGGGGTAGAAAACATTTCCCAATAAATTGCTTTTCTTCCTGCTCATCGCTGTCTCTGTTTATGAATGCAGTGATGTGGGACCTCCTTGAAATGCAAAGCAATCCTAAGGCTCGATAAAAGGCCAGCAGGGGAAAGCCTTGCTTTATGCTGTTAGATAGCAGTGGCATACAGGAGTGTACACAATGCATTACATGTCAAAAGTGATGTTGCTTTAATTATTTGGAAAGTCGAGAACAAATTACCGTGAAAGTTTTGTGACAGAGCGTAAGCAGTGACAGTGGACTCCTAATTGCGGAGGCCATCTCAGAGCTGGTGCCAAACAGACTTGGACAAGTCTTGCTGGTTGATTTAGCCATGCTGCATCAACACATAATGGCACATGCTGTTACAGGACACGCAGACAACCTGCAGTTTGGAACATCTGGTAACTCAAGGAATAGTCACAGTCCACTTGTCCCCAAATTTGCATTTCTATGTGTAACAAGCCAAATATTTGTCCGAGAAATATCATTTCTCTACACCGACTTTTAAGATATACCATACTGTTGACTTTCTGAAAAAAACTAAATTAAACTAAATCAGCATCTTTAAGTCTGTGTAGGCTTTTAATAATGACAGAAGGTGACTGGACTCTTCAAGCTATTTGAAGACATTTCACCTTTCATCCAAGAGGCTTCTTCAGTTCATTCTTTAAAAACTTTAAAGTTAGAGATCATTAACATTTGGTGGCTGAACTACAACATTTCTTGTTGCCCCCAGTTTTATATAATCTTTCACAGTAAATGCAAAGTTGTGTGCATTTGTAAAAAAAAAAAACATATGAAAAAACAAAGAGATTATTTTGTCTTTCTGCTGATTCCAGGAGGAATCCATATTCAAATATCTGGAAAGACAGCATCACTCTGGAATATGAGAAAACATTATACACATTTATGTTATCATCCAACAGATGATTCTTAAACCCTCAAACCTCCTCAGTGAAGTATAATGATGGTATATCAAAGATAAACTGGAAGAACAAAGGAGAAAAAAAGTCACAGTTTCAGTCAGAATTTGTGGGTTAAATTGTGTGCTTAGAGTCAAACAAGCACAATAATTCTAATAGCACGAGTGTTTTTGTACACACCAAGTACTATGTATTGTGTTTGAACTGACCACTCAGTGTTCACTTTATGGTGTGCTATTGTGCGTTGGTTATTTTGTAGTGCTGTTTGAAATCTGAACTGTATATTTCATCCACTGTATACTGCAGTGCAATACCAAATCATCATGTGCCAAGAAGCCTAGCTGTTATTATACATTTATGTCATGAACCAAGCAGCCAGGAACACACAGGCACAAATGTAATCTTTGAAAAATGGGTTTTATTATACCCCAAAAATGACAAGATGATTACAAAAATTCAAAATAACAAAAATAAACTTTTTAAGAACCAAGTGGTCCCATAAAAGAGGTTAACTTAACAGAACGCTACTCAAAAGTCACTTAACAAAAACATAACTCAACAAACTGACCTGCCCAAATGAGAAACAGCTCCAGTTATATAGCAAATGAACAAACCACTATGTACACCAAAGGTGAAAACTAGAGAGATAACAGCTAACCATCATTCAAGAAGAACCCCATTCCCCCTACATGATCACAATAGATGGTTCAGTCCACCCTCAGCCTCCACTTTCAGCCAAACCAGGAAGGACTGGAGCAGAGATCAGGTAACTCAGAAAGAGCAGAAATATAATTAATATAACATATACCTATATAAAATAACAAACAATGCAAAGCAAAGTCTATGCCACCATTTGGACTATAGCCTAGTGCTGTGATGCATTACAGGTAAACTCAAAATATCAAATTAGTTAACTTATGATCACAGAAGCTTTAGAGCATAACGTAAACATAAGACAAAAAGATCAAATGAATATTATCTAAGTATTTCAATTGTGTGGTTGCATGCAGCCATCACAATTTATATCGTGGTCCCTGTTAGTGGGTGGGATATATTCAAGTTAAACTAAAACTTTTGTCCTCAGAGGGTTGTGTTGAATGCAGAAAAAATGGGCAGTGGTCAGTGTCTATCAAAAGTGGTCCAAGAAAGAAACAGAGGTAAACCAGACACAGATCATGGGCAGCAAAGGCAAATGCACATGGGCAGCGAAGGCAGGCCCATGTACTCCGAGCCAACAGACGAGCTGCTGTAGCTTTAGCTAAGCAACACACTATGAGACAAACTGCACATAAACAGTTTGTGTGTTTGCTGATGTTTTTGAGCTCAGAAACTCTGCATTTGAAATTACCTGCCGCAAACTACTGTTGCATAATGATACCTGGCTAAATTCATTGTTTTAACACTGTTTAGTTTTCGGTTTATTTATAGAAGTGTCAAAAATGTCTTGTAAGTGCTTATTTTACTTTTTCAATAAATGGTTAAGCAGCTGTGTTGAGCCATTAGGTCTAACATGAAATATTAGGTAAACACAGTTGTTACTAATCACATTAATTAGGGTTCTGCATTAATGTGATTGGTAACACCTGTGTTTACCTACCCTATAATGTCAAAAAGCTGTGCAAAGCCCAAGGGAAGAGGTTTAAGATGCTACTATGCCAGTATGTTGTAAGGTGAATTTGTCACACAGACAAGGTCAGATATGCCACCATCTCCTCCCCACCTACAGGTAAACTGATCAGTTCACAGATGGAGACTGAAGCTTTCACATCTCCATGGCAGCTGGGAACCTTAGGTGGTGTTGTAGAGTCACGCTGGTAGACAGACAGAATGACGTAAGCTGCCAAGAGCGCCCCTGTAACCCAGACAAAGTGACTGCCGGTACACTAGAACAACCATTTATCCACTGTACAAAACCAGCTCTCTGAAACACACAAACACACAGGGTCACTTTTCCTTCTTCTCTCATCAAGGTGACCCTTTAGTTTGGCAAGGCAGCCTCTCCTTCTGAGTCACCACACGACTTCAGCGCTAACACACAGCTTTGCTTTGTGCTTTATCGATTTTCCGTTAAAGTGGTGCTTTTTACTACAACCGCCAGCTTTTCATTTTCAGAGGGGTCACCATCAGATGCTTCTTTCATACTTTCAACAAACAAGTTGGGGTATCTGTTTGCTTTCTGTTAAAATGACTCTTTGATTTTTATTTCCTCTTTCATTTACTCAGCTTAGGTCAGCCCAGATAGTTATAATAAATATGGACTAATCATTTTCTTCAGTCATGGCGGGAAAAAAAAAGCAAATTTAATAGAAATGTCTGCTGTCTGGCTTTTGTTATAAAACGTTTGTTGTTGCCAAAGTAATCACAAATAATATTCATGCTATAGTGACATGAGACAAATCAAAGGGATAAGTGCATTCTGTTAGTAAAACTCAAACAGTGCTGCTCACTTTGCTTCACCTGGTTTCTTATTGTTAATGAAACAAGCTAATGAACCTTTTAAAGGCAGAAAACAGATCAGCTGTTTCGAGTAGCTTATCACTGATGCTTCTGCTATTAAAAAAAGCTTGTAATGTCATGAAGTGAAAGCAGTAAGCGCTTAAATCACAGCGGTGGCACCTCAGAGCCTCAGCTCTTAGGCAGCCTTCTCTCTAGTGAGGTAGTGTCTGCTTTTAGGGATTGATGCAGTCATTACGTCACCTCAGTCTGCCTTGTTAAACAAGGCTGAGTGTACTGGGAATGTAAATAGTTACTCAAGGGGACATGATTAAGCATTTATAAGAAAACTTGAAAGCCACAGATTTACTGACTAGAATTGAAACTTAGAGGATTTTTTTCTTCCACTCCAGCCAAGTGGGCACAAGCTGGGATTTTTCCCTTCAGACTCCCACAGACAGTTAATTTCACATCCTGTTGTGATCACCACCAGGTAGTACAGGCTGCTGAGATTGCTAATAAGTGCCAAAAAGTTACGTGATTTGTTTGGCTTGTTTGCTAGCAAAATTATTCCAACAGAAATTTAATTTGATAAAAAGAAATAATAAAAGTGGGGAAACAAATTAAGGGTTCTTCACAATCACAAGATCTTTAAAAACATGTAAAATTGAAAATGAAATGGGAATAATTTGAAAGGATTTTCTTTGTTTTCAAGAAAACATCATGAACTAATTCAGATCAGACATGTTTTCCAATGCATTAAGGATAAAGACAGAATAATCTTCTAATCCTGACAGCAGTATTGATGGGGTATGTCGCCATCGAGACATTTGATCAAAGAAATTTGAGTCACAGATCCGTTACTTCATAGTGTTACCAAATGAGATAAGAACTTATCCTAAACGTTGGCATATTACTGTGTTACACCAGCCAAAACTTGAAAAACATCTTAATGCAGTAGAATAAATAAAATATCACAAAACAAAATACCTTGGAAGGTTTTACAAAATGTTATAAAAAGTCTTGAGGTGGTAAAACGTTTCTGTATCTGTCCTTGTGGAAGCGGAGCTCAAACAGAAGTGTTCAGCTGGATGCCCAGTATGCGGTGCAGACTGGTAAGGGGTCAGAATCCAACAATTATCCATAGCCATTCATCACAGTCATTTGAACGACCTCTGTATCAGCTGATGGTGTAATCCAAAAAGTGTGTTGCTCCAAATCAAAGAAGTCACTTGGTTGAGTGACGAAACGTTTCTCCCACTGAAAACGCTTCGTCCAGATCAACAGAATCAACTTTTGGAGACGTTGCCCCAAACTGCATTCACACAGCAACAGTGCTGATGAATTACCTCGGCTAATAACATTCAAGCAGCTAACGGGGTAATGTTCAGGCCATTTGTTATTCACAGTTGTGTGTTAAGGCTTAACCCCCCCCCTAAATTAGATTAGTCTAATTCCCCACATTCTTCTTATTGCTTAGATCAATGTCTGTCCCCCAGAACAGTCATGAAGTTACTGTCTTTACTGTGGCAGTAAGTGTGTAGTAGGTTTTTCACTGAATCTCTCAAATAAGGATTTTAGTATCTAGCCTGATTTGATTGATGTTCCATGATACATGTATTCTTTTTCTAGTGCAATTACATTTAGTACCTGGTGGTAGATGTCACTATGGACTACAATGTTGAGTGATGACTCATTTTTAGTGTTTTTCAAGTCATTTCAGTTCATTTCAGGTCAACAATATAGCAAGAAATCACAATGACAGCTGCATAACGGTGCTTTATATTTTATGGTAAAGACCCTGCAGTATAGGGGAGAAAAACCAACAATCAGTGGAGCCCCTTTGTGCAAACACTTTGCGATGGTGGGCAGGAAAAACTCCCCTTCATAGGAATAATTCTCTAGCAGAACCAGGCTCAGAGAGATGCATTTGGTGTGAGAGGTTCGGGGTTTGGGGAAAGAGAAAACAACCAACGAGAGCATAAGGAGACAGAACAAAACACTAATGATATGCTGCAGCATATACACTGATCAGGTATAATATTATGACAACCTGACTAATATTGTATCGGTCCCTTTTTTGCTGCCTAAACAGCCCTGACCTGTTGAGGACTCTGCTAGACTCCTGAAGCAGTGCTGAAGGTGTAATGTGGTATCTGACACCAAGATATTAACTTTAGATCCTTTAAGTCCTGCAAGTTATGAGATGGGGGCACCATGCAGCAGACTTGTTTGTCCAGCACATCCCACAGATTCTGGATTGGAATGAGACACAGAGAATTTGGAGATCAACGCCTAAAACCCATTGTTGTGCTCCTCAGATGATTTATGAACAGTTTTTGTTTTGTGGTAGGGCGCATTATCCTGCTAAAAACACACCACTGTCATCAGGAAACACTGCTTCCATGAAAGAGTGTGAATGGTCTGCAACGATACTTGGGTAGATGGTACGTGGCAGTTTGGGTGGTGGATGGAGATCAGCATGGGCACCCTGACCGGTCTGCAGCTGTGCAACAAACTCTGATGCTCTGTGTATTCTGACTCCTTTCTATCAGAGTCAACAAACCTTTTCAGTAGTTTCAGCTACAGCAGCTCATCAGTTAGATTGGACCACTGAGGTCAATCAGCCTTCGCTGTGCATCAGCGAGGCTTGCCTGCCCATGACCCTGTCACTGGTTCACCACTGTTTCTTTCTTGTCCTCTAGGACCCAGAAGTAAGGCTGCAGCCTGGAAGTGATATGCGTTTTTGGACAATATGAATACTATACTTAGAAAGTCTTTAAGATTTGATTGAGCCTGATGTTTTTGAAGACTTTGAATGTGAGGAGAAGGATTTTAAACTCAGTTTTGGATTTAATTGGGTCAGTGGAGAGAAGCTAATGCGGGAAAAATATGGTCTCTCTTCCTAGTCCTTGATGGTACTCCCACTGTAGTGAGTGGAGAGATTTAGAACAGCCTCATAATGAATTACAATGGACCAGTTCAGAAGTGATGAATTCATGAAGTGGTTTCTCAGCATCATTCTGAGACAGAATTGATCTAATTTTAAAAGTAGTGAGATGTTTTGCGAGAGAGATTTTCAATTTTTTTAATGTCTGTTTTCAATGTCTGTTTTTTTAATATGTTTTTTTTGGGACTTTTCAATTGCTTTCTTTCACATATAAGACCCAATTAATTTCTACAAGATTTTCACCTTTTATAAGGTCTTAATGTTAACGTTACCTCAGCAATTTATCATACTTTATTTTTTGACCTGTCACACTTCAAAATAATCATTTTGATATCTATGGCTTAGCTGTAGGTGTAATAAACCAGAAATATTATCTGAGCTATTCTTCACATCACCAACATTTTACAGTTGATTTAAATTTAGTTCAGACACTTTGATTTAACGGTTCAAAGTTACCCTTTGGACGGCCAGTGCAAGATTTTGTAATGCATAAAAAACACTTGAACAGAATCTGCTGCTCTCTATAATATCTGGATTTGGCCAGCTGAATTTGAAACCTTTTCGATCCCCCTTCCTTCTGTGTTGTCATCAGTAGGACTTATTTTCATTCACCTCTCAGGCATACATGGCTCAAATGGTCATTTCCCGCAGAGAATGATTTTCTTCCATGGAAATGGCCATCTCATTCCGCCAGAAATTTAATCTTCAGGACATCGTGGATAGATTAGGATGATGGATCATTTGAAATGTTTTGAGAGATACTTCACACGGAATTGGTGTTGGAAAATTGATCTGCTGCACCTCACTCTGCTTTTTCAAAAGGAAAACAAATGAGGAACCGTGTTGGGCCAAAAGATGAGAGACTGGTTTTGCAGTCAGTTTTCCTTGGTTTTGGCACAGTGGCTTTTGCCGATTGTGATTTCTGCATTACATCCTGGTCATTCCTACTCCTTTTGTGTGTTGCATTCAGGGTTTGCTGACCTCTGGAGTAGAATTTGAATCTCTGCCTGCAGCGCTGTCTCTGCCTGCCGAGTCTGGCCTGTACCCTGTTACTCTGGTTGGCGTCCCACGTACAGCCGGGAACATTACTGTCAACGGTCAGTGTGGCTGAAAAGATTTTTTCATTACTTGGATTGTTGCACATAATAATTAGCTGGAAAGATTAGCTTGTGTTTTTGCACACACTTTTGAGTCAGACTCCTTTTTAAAGGTCAGTGGTTCACCATTCCACTCCAGTAATTTCATCCACTAAAGATTCTATTTTCTGTTTGAACCCAGGTTACCACACGTCAGTGTTTGGTGTAACCAGTGATTGCCTGCTGGATGGCCTGCCTGGTGTGAAGACTAGCGGCTGTTTAGTGGAGGTCATTCCCGCTCTTCCTCGCCTCCAGCTCCAGACGTCACTGCCACGGTCAGGAACTCTCTGCACGCTGTCTTTGCTATGACACTAATTGTTCACTAACAGTCAGTGTAGAAAAGATCTGACTGTGTTGCTATGCTGATAATGTCACAGGTCTCAGTAGGCCAGGGGTAAACACTGGGTAAGCCTTGCTTTGCCAAATTGGGTGACGAAAGGTTTATATGTGGTTCACAACACCTGTTTAACAAAGATAACACTTCAACACTAATTACATTAGCTGGCAGCCAAATTAGCTAGACTGGGTTACATATATTTAATACAACATTTTGATGCCCACAGCAAAAGGCTAAAGTATTTCATAACTACTTGGTAAATTATTTAACCACTGAAAATCATGTTATGCTTTGTGGTTTCTCTCTACTAGCGTTGGCCTTTTGGCCTCATTTTTATCTTTAGTAAAGTAAATTGAAGTGTTAGACTGCGTCAACAGACAAGAACATTTTCCCATAAAAACATAGGAAGGGCAAAGAGTCTTGCTTTGTTCACCCATGATTGATGTGAACACCCTCAAACACCTTTAAAGCTTAAAGTCAGCACTTTAGCTTTATGGTCATTGTTTCATTGCACATCCATTGTGCTGAGGTACAGAGCCAAAACAATGACAAATGTGCGACTGTTGTACCACTCACGGACTCCTCTCTACTCATAGTTTTTACGCCCAAAAGTAAGAAAAGTTAACATTTTGAGTAGTGTGTTTTTGGCCAACGTGATGCAGTTTGCCCTCGAGTGCATGTGCAGGTTTCAGGTTTACACCATTATGTAAAAGTTGCCTGTGTTAGTATTTGTGTTTATTTCATGAAATGTTTGTGTTCAAGTATAGCTATGAAAAAGGGATCGCTTTGTGGCTGAGTGGTCTTAAGGTCATACCAATTACAAACCAAAGTTATATCATAGCAAGCATATTGGGATCCTGTGGTGAGAACAGAAACACTTCAAAGAAATCAACAGTGTAAAGCTTATTTTAAACCCAGGTCATGAACCACATTATAGCCCAAGATTGTGTGTTATTTGAGAAATGAAAGTAGAAGTCACGTGGTAAGATTTCTACCAGTAAATAGCAGGTAATGCACGCCGTCTGGACTTTTGTAAATCATTCTGACAGGAAAGCTGCTTTAAAATTCACTATTTAGGTCATGCCTGTGTAAGTACAGCACTCATCAGCTTTTGATGTGGAAAATCTTTTTATTCTCTAATGCTGGAATATAGTTCGTGTGTCTACTCGAACAGAAGTGTAATATTTGGCTCTAGTGTGTGGTGTTCTCACAGGATGCACAGGTAGACCTTGAGTTTTGACTTCAAAGCTCTGAGAGTCTCTACAGGGTGCCTCACAGACTTTTTTGCCTACAGCACTAAACGGCAGTATCTAAGGCTCCACTTTTCACATTTATACCATTTGAATTCTAAACATTAACTCAAAATTTGTAGTTTTAATATTTTAGAACATTGATATTCTAGTTTGGAGACTGAATCTTTTGCTGGCATGCCCCATGTCATTAAAAATAATATTTCTGAGTCCAAATGTGGCAGGAGTGGGCTAGTGTTGTTGCCTGCAAGACGGTCCTGAGTTCAGTTCCCACCATCTGGCCTCAGGGTCTTTCTGTGTGGGGTTTGCATGTTCTCCCCAGGAGCTTTGGCCTCCTCCCACTACAGACATGTATTTAGTGGGGTTAGGTGATAATTCTAAATTGCCCACAGGTATGAATGCGACTGCAAATAGTTGTCTGTCCCTGTGTTAGCCAGGGTGTACCCCTCCTGCCCTAAGGCAGCTGGAATAGGCTCCAGCCCCCTGAATTGGATAAGCAGAAGAGAATGGATGGATGCTCATTCAGTGCAAATGAATGCTGAAGCATCACTGAAAAGGCTCCAAGTTAATCTTACAGCTTCAATAAAATGATCGGTGTGGTTGTTCTCAGACATGCTACAATGAAGTTTAAAGTTCAGGCTTCCATGAAAATGAAGATTTATGAGGTTTAGAAAGGTCAGATGTTGGCTGTAAGTTAGCTAGTTAATTTGACATCTAAAGATCATATACCATTTCCAGCAAGATAGAGCACTGCTTTAACTTTGGTTGTAAATTAAGCTGTAAAGCTAAATAGCAGCAGTGTTTGAAAGCTTAGTGAAATAGATAATTATTTCAACTAGTCCTATGTCGTGGCTAGCTGCTAGGCTAACATAATATATGAGGAGACACACACACCTTCATCTATCCTGAGAAGCAGCACCTTAAACTCTCTTTTGAATAAAACAGGGGGTGGCTCAAGACTTCTACATACCACATGATGCATATATGATTGTATTTCAAGGCTATTCACCTAATCTGTGATTAGTTATAATGGCCATGTGTTTCTCTGAACCTACCTACAGGTCAGCCTACACACCTCACCCCATGTCCAAAGAAGAGCTGTCTAGCTCCGTGTCTGTCCAGCTGTTCAACGGAGAGACGCAGCAGTTGACCATCACCTTAGAGAACATTGGATCTGAGGACATAGAGACTTTGGAGCTCACCTCTAAGATTGTCAGCACCAAAGGTAAGCACCCTCAGCAAGATGAGCCAAGGCTGTTTATTATACCTTTTTGTTCAATTTTCTAGCTCTCGATTTAGATTTACAACCGAAATTGTGAAAGTTCAAAACACAGTAGGATTGCAGAAGAAAATGTGGATTGAAAAAAAATGTGCTAAAACAATCAGAGTGCATTGAGTGTCTTATCTGTGTTGTAGTTGCAATAGGCTTTGATGGACTTTACTGCCCACTTAGTTTTTGCTCCAGCCTCTTGCAGCCCGCTTGTCCACAGTGCTGCAGGGGTCGCTACCTTGTTGTATGTGCATGGGGACCTTTCATGCTCTTGTGGCTTTCCAGTCTGTGTTCTGTCTCTTTGTTCAACACCTGCTCAGGCCGTCTGATCTCTGCAGTCCCCCTCACTCTCTTTCTCTGTCACTCGCTGGCTTTTGTTCTCCTTTAATTGTCTGTGTGGAAAAAGGAGGCAATTTATTTATTCTTTTGAAAAACAAAGTTATCTGGCACTTCAGTGTTGAAGTAACTTTTATTTTACTTAACTGTCGATGGTATATTTTAGTATCTGTGCAGCTGCAAAGTCTCCTGCTGTTACTTTTTTGTTTAAATCAGAGTGGAACCAGCTGTCATTAACTCTACAATGGGTGTCCTTTAAACAGCTTTGCTTTAACATTGTCAAGCTTTTGCTTTAGTAAGTCACCTGTTAAGGTGCCTGGGTCGTCGACCCAGTGTTTCGTGTTTTTGGTTCTTTGATTTTGTTTGTTTCTTTATATTCTAGCTTTCTTTGTCTTACGGGTTATTGGATTATTTTAATTGTAGGTTCTCTGTGTGGGTTTTGTTTGTTTGTCTTCTGGTTTTCTGTCTGTGATCCATAGTTGCGGTCTCCCATGTCTGCTGTATCCCCATGTCAAGTCTGTCTCTGTGTTATGTTTCCTGTTTTACTTTGAAGCTCCATGTCTTATGTTAATGTGTCTGGTGTTGCTTCCTTTGTCTCGTTAGTAGGGCTGGGTATCGTCACTGATTTCTAGAATCGATTCGATTCCGATTTACAAGGTCCTGAATCGATTCGATCCACGATTCGATTCAATTCGATTCGATTCGATTCGATTTGAATCTGGGAAATTTTGCCTCAGACAGTCAGAAATATTATAATTCAGATCAATACATTTACATATTTTTGTATCTATAAAAAGGAAGCTGACACTTTCCAGATTTTATCAAAGGTGTGAGCGTCACAGCAGATGCTTTTGTGTCAAAGTAGCTGAAGATAAAACACAGAAAAACATGAAGGTGATTTTCATGGCCTGGGATTTTATAAAAATACTCTGCAGTAGATCACAAACGAAAGAAAACCATTAATCAACTTATGAACATTACCTCTGAAGTTACAGCGGTTTTATCAGAGACACGGCTAAGCGTTTTGCATTTTGTATAATTTTAAAAAGTTTAAATTTGTTCAGTATTGAACGGCAGAAATTAGGTTTTCTTTTCGGAAGTAAGTAAAAGGAAAAAAAAGAACATTGTCCGACAGCGCTGTAAATAACTGTAGTCTTGTGCGTAACAAGCAAGCGAATAATGAAGAAAGGGAAACTGTTCTTGAAGTACAGAGAGAGAGAGCTGTGCATGAAGTGTGATTTTATTGGTGGAATCAAAACAGCAAAAGTCAGAGGGAGTCCATGACGATGTTTATGTGAAGCGTAGTTTGGATCTTCTTTTGCTGCTGGTTCGGTCAATATTGTTTGGAGAGAGATAAAACTAACAGCTTTAGAATCAGCGCAAAAAGGGCGTAAACACAAAGCGCAGACCCGCCGAAACATCAGAATCAGCGAGCTGTCGGCTTTCAGCCCCGACCGTGTCCGTGCCGTCGGGTGAGAAAGTCACATCTCACTGATTCTGATCTGCGGGTCTGCGCTTTGTGTTTACGTCTTTGTGCAGAAGCAGTGTACCTGCTCTCATTTAAAAGCGAGTCATCAGTGATTTTTGTTATTCTTTCAGCAAGAAAGAATATATGCTAGCTGTTAAAGTTGGATAAACCCGTAGTAAACAAAATGTGAAAATAAATCAAAACATGTTTAGTATTTTAGATTCTTCAAAATAGCCACCCTTTGAGATTTCCTTTGTTGCACACTATTGGTATTCTCTTAATGAGCTTCATGAGGTAGTCACCTGAAATGGTTTTCCAACAGTCTTGGAGTTCCCACAGATGTTGAGCACTTGTTGATCACCTCCTCCATGCGGCGGGGACCATGCACGCAGTCTCCTGAACAGTTGATGTAGAGATGTGTCTGAACTGGAACTCTGTGTGGCATCTATTTGGGCTCTGATCCGAGGTGCTGTTAATGTGAGATTTCCTTGACCTTCAGTGCTTAAAGTCATTTCTCTTTACTTAGCTGATTGGTTTTTGCCATAATATGAATTCTAACAGTTGTTAAATAGGGCTGCCAGCTCTGTATCAACCTGACTTCTGCACAACACACCTGGTGGTCCCAAACCCATTTAGAAAGCAATAAATTGCACAAAGCAAAGGGTGGCTACTTTGAGGAATCTAAAATGCAAGACATATTTAGAGTTATTCATCCAATTTTTTCTTTGCTACATAATTCCAGAGATTTTGCTTTATGTTATCCAATGTCTTCAGTATATAGCTACAATGTAGAAAGTAGCAAAAATAAAGAAAAAACATTAAATGAGAAGGTCCAAACTTTTGACTGGTAATGTGTATATACATATACTGTGTGTGTGTGTGTGTGTGTGTGTGCGTGTTTGTTTTAAGCTATACAAGTTCAAAATCTGACTCAAAATTCCATCTCCAGGTGACAGTGTTGTTTTCTCTGTAGTAAACAAAACATGAAAGCCAGTGTGTGTCCTGAGAATTTGGTGGTGCAGTGGCTACCACTGTTCAGGTCCGCGGGTTGGCTGGGTCCTTTCTGTGGCTTTGGTGCGTCCTCCCACAATACAAAGGCAGGCTTTTTTTGTTAACTGGTGATTCTAAATGTGGCACATTGGTTTAGAAAAGACCTTGGTACGTAGTGAAATGCTTATCACATATTATTGTAAAGTAACTGCCATTAAGTCTAAATACTGGCAAATTTTTATTGGACAAAACGTAAAAGTAATGACGCCGGTTATTGTGGGTTATTTCCAAGTGCTTCGTTTTCTGACACTGAACCACTGCATTAGCATTAATAGCTGGAAGCATTCCAGTTTATGAGAAACCAGTGTCACTTGACCATATTTAAAATCATTATTGATTTCTTAACTCGGAGCTGTCTCCACTGGTAAAATGCGACTCCAGTTATTCTTGCTGTAAACTATTTTAATTTATAACGAGTACCCTAAATTATTCAACACTACCAAGAGCAAAACTTATCATAGCTTTTAAAATATTGCTTCTATTACTCTCTCCTGTGTCGCTATGTAAATTCAATTTTACATTTTTCTTTTTTCAGATGCAGACAGAAGTCTGTTGACATTTTCACTTGTTAATTCTGACAAAAACACCTTTCTTCCCCACATACTAAAGTAGATCCTGCCAAGAAAATACCTTTGTATATCCTCAGTTTAGCCTCAGAAATACAGACATTTAAAATGAAGGAAAGATTTCTTGAAGATTTTTTTTTTTTTAAACACTCTGACTCCCTGTGGTATCAGTGGGAGTTTAATCACGCAGCGATGAGTGAAGGAGGAGAAGCTGGGAGCAGTTTCCTTTTATCTGAAACTGATCTGACTTTTCTGAAATGGCTTCAAAATTCTGTGATGACAGGCTCCATGCCTCCTCTGCCCAAGGGTTAACACTCATGGGGTTAGTCTAGTCTGACTTTTCTTGGTCTTTCACATATGTTGAAGACTCTATTGTGTAGAGATAGCACAAGCCTTTGGTGTCCAGTCCTGATGTAGAATTTATAACTCAGCGACAGCAGGATGAGAGAGGTGCTGCACTTTACTCTTGCCTTCTATACAAAAGCGCTGCCCAGTTTTTGATTTAAGATAGATAGTAATTTGCTGGTCAATGGTGAATGGTACAAGACTTACAAGATTTGAACACAGTAATCCACTGATGTCTACCTCTTAGAAGCTTGTTGCATCTCACATATCCAAGCTCCCTGCTGGCTGGACTCCAAGGAACAACGTAGTCTCTCTAGTTAACAAAGCATTCTCTTTGAAATAAAACTGTGGTACCGTTTTGTTTGTTTTATGCTGCAAATATAGCGTTGCCTCCCAGGGAATGTTATTTTCAGAGTTGGATGAAGAAGTGATAAATATTCTGGGTCCAAATTTGAAACATCCAGCGCCTCAATAATATCAAAGACACAGATGAAATATCATTACTCTACCCAAGGATTTGAGCAGTATCATTAAATCCAACAACCAGTCTTTTTTTTTTTTGTTTAAATATGCTGAGTGTTATTATCTTATACAATTCTTCAGAGCTAAAGTGTTTAAGACCTTATGTGAAAAAGGTCCAACTATAAAAAAGGTTTTTGTTTTAAGTACTTAAACTTCTTAATTGTCCAAAGAAGATACAGCAGAAAGCTCTTCTCTTCTCCTTTGTTGTTCAAATTCCTTGTGAATGAAATCTTCTGTTCTTCTTTTGTTTTTAAGTCTTTGCTGTTTTATCTTTATCCAGCCCTTTCAAGTCCTTCCTCTTCTTTGAATGTTTATCTTCTCCAGTTTCAGTTCTTCTTATTCCTCTGATTCAAACTGATTCTCTTTTTCTTTTCCTTTAAATTTTTGTCTGCTAAGGACCAGTATTCGTAGTCAGACCAACAACAGTAGCACTTATCCATTGAGTGTAGTTATGGTATAACATATTTAGTGCTTTTAGGTCATCATTAGTCACAAGTGCCTTTTTCCTGTCTTATTTTTTTTCTTTGCCTGTTTTATTCTCTGATTCTCAACAATAGGACTTATAAATCTTTCTGACACATCAGTATCCCCAATTTTTAGAGTCAATATCAGTGAACCATCAAATGCATGAAAATGCACATGAAAGCAGGGCTTTTTTTTGTTACCAT